TATTTCTGTTTTTCTTTGTCGCTGTGAAATACGGAAAATCTGAACATATCTTGTCGGTTGTTCTAATATCAGGTTATTTACTGTGTGAGAACCGACAGTGTTATAACTTTAAGTTGTTAAGTGCTAACCATCATGTTGAGTAAAATAAAACTATCGCACTAGCTCACGTAAGTACGAAAAATTTGATTAAGGGCGACTGATTTTATTTTAATTTGCCATCGAAAAAATACTATTCGGAATCAGTGTCACTAAATCTTGGAAGAAAAGTAATCTTATGTTACGAATATCTTTGGGCCTATCGTAACTTAGTTTTCCAATCCACTAAATACAATATAATGAAAATTCACTGCTACGTTATTGCTTGCTTGTTCATGCGGAATATTTGGTTCCCTGTGGTCTCATAACTAAATCACTTGCCAGTCATGCGTGTTTGTTTTCCTCACTCGTACATAAAAGATTAATGATCGCTCGCGCTGTGGAATGTTCCGTAACCAAAGTTTTCATCTTTGTATTTTTAGATTTTATACTCGATACTTCATCTTGTTCACACGGCTGAATAAATCTGCGAACACGTGATGTAGTATTACCTGATAGTACCCACAATGAGTTTTAAGCTTTTCATTTAATCTTGATGGGAATTTGTCAGCTTTTCAAGCCAGTTATTACCCTGAGTATTTTTATCTTATCCTAAATTCCGACGTAGAAAAGTATCTTTAGTACCCTCTACCAGAGCTCGTGGTATAAGGCTTACTAGCAGTTAATTATTATTCACTAAAACCATACCTGTTGCCTGCCACCACTGTTGTGTTGATTAAACCTGACAGCGATGATATAATGTGTACATTGCAGGTAGTAGGTACCCTACCCTTCGCACTCTTTCCTCTCAAAAGGCAAAAACAACCAAATAATGCACTAGCAGATCGTTTTTTGTGAGTTCAACGTGGAAACTTCTTTTCTGATCACGTGGTATTCTTTCCTTGATCACTGTGGGTAAATCTTTCCTGCCCACGTAGGTATTTCTTTCCTGGCCAACGTGGTATTCATTCCATACCACTCTACCGTCTTTTCCTGGCCACGTTATGCTTCTTACCTTGACCCACGGTGCATTTTACCGAACCCCATCTTGCCAAATTATCCAGGTGTCTCTGTTCCTTCGTGAAAATCCGATCTATATAGCATCCAATGATCATGACGTGGACGGCCGTCTAGGAGCTTGTTTTGAATAAAATACATGTGCGATTTCATCGTTTTTTATTAGTTTTTGAACTTTGTGGACTTGAAATCGATAATGTCTTCAGTGTTATAAAGTAGTATGGTATTGCTATACCGTTTTTTTGATGATATATACCTTACGGCGATTTCGAACCATTTTCATGCAGCAAGTTGGAGGTAGTAAGCACGTTGGAGGTAGTAAGCTGACGATTTTAATGAATTTTGTTCGACCAATCTGCAGGCGAGAGACGAGTACGATTGATCGGTTTTGCTGACCTGGCAGAACAATTGGCAACAGTTACCGTAGTATACGTAAATATAATGAGGGAAAATTCCCCGTTTTCGTTTATTCCGTTTCTACCTGTGTTTCACATTTCTTATTTCCGGTATAATTAGTCGAAACCTCCTTTAACATTTTTCACTATATAGTTGGAAATTCCTTGGAATAATAATAATAATTCCCCACTTAGAGCACTCCTTAAAATAATGGTAAATGCCATCCCAGCTGCTCCGACAACAGAAACACTTCATAATGTTGTTAAACTCCCAGAAATCGTTTTGCAATAAAAATTTTAATACTTTGACATGTAACCTAGACATACCAGCATCTACCGTCATTACTAGAACGTTCTTATTTTTGTTTTTGCCTGAGATTATTCTAGGCTCTCCTCTCATCCGTTCAGAAAAAAATGTTTTGGATATGAGCCCTAGCTCGCAGTTTTGTCGTATCTATACGAGGTGTTTAGTTTCATTTTCTTATATCTGGTTTCATCACTTTTTAGTGCAATTAATGACATTATTTTTCCACCGCATAGGCATGCTTGTGAGTTACGAAGCCATACTACCCTAACATAGTTGCCCGACCCAACATGATCTGATCAATAAAATAGCTGATCTTGCGGAGGAGTGCATGCGAAGCCATTAAACATGAACACAGAATGATTTGATATAAATTAAAGCAAACTGCGCAGCGAACATTTCTGAACGTGGGTAAGGAATAACCATCACCAGTGTATGACGCATAACTAATAACTTTAGGTCAATTCAGACTATTTGTGGATTCTTGAATTAGAATAATCAATGATCAAGGCTAAATATTGGAAAAACTTGACAAACAAAAGGAATTACTCTCGTCAATTACTCAATGACTACTCAGTTCATGAGTGCATTTCACAAATTACTGTCATGATACCAATCGCATTTCATAATTCCAGAACATATTTCGCCAATTTTCATCCTGACCAATCATTGTTCATGCAATTTGGTAAATAAAAATTGTGCCTGAGAATGAGATTAATCTATAATTATTGATTTTTGCAATTTAATGCGAATTTCACTTGGCTTACACTTACAGTCCTATATGGACGGCCAAAATCTGAACGGTTGACCCTCTAGTCCTCATATTGACTATATTTATTGAGAACCGCTCATACATATATTAGTTGGGCTGTTCACTATTTTATCAATCAATGAGAAGGCTTCTACGGTCAGCGACGGTTAAATATGCGACGGGCGAAATTGTGACAACTCAGTGGATTGTGCTGCAAAATTAAACCATACACTCACCATGGCACAAAGATTAATTAGCTGATCACTCCAACATGCGAAAATTTATAATGATTCACAAAAGTTATATAAATTAATAAGTAACTTTGATTATAACTTAATCGTGGCACCATGAAACAGCCTCGGTATTATCTACCCATCACTAATGATATTGCTACAAATAATATTATGACTGTAGTATTAATTATTATGTTACCACAAATAATATTATTGCAGCGGGTTCTGCTATCAGTTGTTGTGACTTTAACTACTGACAAAGTCTAACTTTTAAGTATATTCATGAACTTCAACAGATTAAGATCGGGTGATTGTGGGTGCAGTTCGACGACCAATCTGATATATAATATATATAGATAACATAAACAACCCCAATTAAAAACGAATCGTCAAATTTTTTCTTTTTTCACTCGCACAAAAACAATGGTGAACCGTTTTAACTTTCGGAAGTAACTGCAAATGAATCAAAAATGATCGATATTAAGGACATATGAAACTGAACGGTTATACAATCTTACTGTTGCCATACTATTACTGAGAGACATAATGTGCCAACTCCAAGAATAAACTACGGGGAACAAAACGATATTGTCAGTCTTACCGGAATTATCAACCATGTCCACATCTTAACCCTCCGCTCCAAGATTGATATCATTATAACACCCCGGGGCTCGGTATAGGTGATTATTAATCACCAGTTAGAGCCATGTTGTTGTTGAAGCCTGTTGTAGATCCAGAGACGTTGAGTCGACCATCAATCGCGGGAATCCTCCTGATTACGGTAATTGTCACGTGTGAATACACGTGAAAGTTGAGAAGATCAGGAGCATGAACTGTAGATTAAGGATGGCAGTTACTTAAGTGCTCACTCTGGAAAAGTAATCCACTGAATTGGTACCAACTAAGTTAAGCAGCTGTTAATTTTATTCAGCGATATCATTTCATGGGTTCCTTAATGATCGTCTCAATGGCGTGAAAACAACTTTGATTTAATCAAATACCCTCCCAAAGGATCCAGCACATTCAGGATTCCTCTTCTGTAAACAGATATTGAATTTTAGGGCCCGATCAAAGGATTTGACCTGCGTAAATTTTGATCAGACCGAGTAGAAATTCAATTTTGAGACGTACAATTTTGTTCAATCTATTGTGATGTAAAGCTGATACATTGTAGACCAGCTGCCACAGAAATTAGATATTTAGATTTTGTTATGGTCTAGATTTTTGTGATTTATTATTAGCAATCAAAGTTCAGACATTTGTAACTGTAATAATTTCAGTCAAACATAATCACATGAATTACATCTCACCGCTTACTGCACAATCGCTGTTCCTCTCAAAATCGACACATACAATAGGCCATACATATCCGACACTACACCAAATGGTATTAAACTAATATTGACATGACATCGAGATATAGCAGATATCTATCGAAATCATAAGATTTAGATTAACTGCATAGTATAGTAACCTATAACCTATAACCTATTGGGGTTACAGCGCATAATATGTCGTGACCTAGGCAACACAAAGGGCGCCCAAAGTTGAGCTGATCTTCAACTACCTGGTTATTTCACAGGATTGACCGATATTAGCATCAAATCAAGAATATTAACCCATCTTTAGAACGGCTGATATCGTGGCGACATTAAATTTTAGCCAGCTTAACTTCACCGACACAGATACAATGTCCCCTGATTAATGGTCACCACTTTGAGCTGCTATAATCAAGAATTATCTAGACGTAAAGGGAGCTATCCCACCCTTTAATCATAGGATTGAGTTTGAGCGTTACTGGGGCCCGATGGGAACATTACACCAGTCTGTCAGCCTATTACAAGTACAGCAGATGTCTGATTAGATGGAGATATTTTCAATCCGTTCGTATACTGAGGGTTGTCCGGAGGTTGTTTTTGGGTGCTATAATGACTCCTAATTCATGAGGAGACTTTGCTCCGAGGTACAGAATAATTAGAAAACAGTATCTTTGCACACCCAGATACTCCAGCCTCCGCGCCGGCTCTGGTGGAGAATATTGTGCCATGTGCCGAGAAGAAGAAGAATATTCTAGAAAGTTTAAAGTTAAGTCTTAGAAATAGAATTACAAATGATGAAAGTCTGCATGTGCACACAAATAGGACATAACTCAAGGCGACCCGCTTGTGACTCGATTAGTTTTGGCTTTTATTACGGCCATCAGGCCATCCACAAGGGAGTATCACATCAATAAATGTAATGGATTTGTAATGTTGTTAGTTGTAATTAGCAAAACTATAAAACTGATGAAGTATATATTTCTTTCAACGTTAGCTAACTTTCACAACAAAAGTCTTAGAATTAGTAAGCAAAATTATATCTTAAATGAGTAAATTTGCTACAGTTATTAACCATTTAGTACTGTAGTTCAAGAACTTGAATATACTTTACAGAATTCAGACGTCTTAATTACTCTTGCATTGCAAACATTACTGTAGCGAGATTCGCAAGAATTAAGGAAAATGTCGAAGCCTCCGATTCCTTTCTAAAAACACGGATCAAAAGAAGCCACGAAAGCAAAAAGCAATCGTAAAAATTCTCTCAGAGAAGCAAACATTTGCTCCAACCAGAACTTAATATTACTACAATGATGTTTATAAGCAGAGAAAAGATAATTAGAGCTTTAGAGGATGGTACCAAGTGTTCATGTAAAGTTGACTGTTTGACAACGTTGTCATCTAATTGGTTACTCTAACCAAATACAATATCAGCTGTTGATCTGGTTAAAAATTCCTTCACAAATCATTATTGGCGAAATCAGTGTTTAACTGTCGATTTAAAAAATAGTCATAGCTCATAATAATCATTTTAGCTATGACAATAGCCATGCTTGCTTTTAAAACTTAAACTAAAATATCAGATTGCGACTAAATCCATCTATCAATTATACTCGATATGGACGCATATCATAAATCCTTATACTACCTTCAGCGACCTATAAGAAAAGTGTTGGAGCTGTATCCTTTTAAACTAAATACACACGGGTTAGACGCGGCATATCCCAGACATATCCTCCATGCTTTGTAGTAAGGAGGACATCTCTAGAAGGATATGTCTGGGATATGCCGCGTTTAACAAATACAAGAAAGCTTGGAACCATAAGATCCCTCTGAGCAAGAGGCTTCTGTTGTATGAGGCTCTGGTAGTATCCGTTTTAATGTACAATTCATCTTGCTGGGCTGCCCCTAAATCAGTATTGGAAAAACTAGATATTGCTCACAGACGTCATCTGCGATCAATTTTGAATTACAAATACCCTCACATCATTTCCAATAAGAACTTGTATTTATACAATGGTTCGCTATTGCAGCGTTTATAAACGCTGCAATAGCGAACCATTGTCAGCTAAAGTGGCTCGTAGTCGGTGGAGGATGCTCGGACATGTACTGCGTGGGCCTACAGATGGTCCAGCCTATTCGTCGCTTGTTTTTGCTGTTAACACCTTACAGCTTCAAGGGCGGCGTGGAAGACCGCAGTCAAACCTTTTCTCACTGATTCTACACGACCTTAGTGTTCGAAAATTATCGTTAAATAATTTATGTGATTTAAACAATTTAACTTTAATCGCTCAGAATAGAGTTAAATGGAGAAGTATGCAAATTGCATGACTTTTGTTTGAGAAAGATTAGGGGACAGAAATGTTTACTTTGTTTACTATCTGTTTCTTAGAGCTTTTGTTTATATATATACACGGGTTTCCTGAAAAGATACACAAAAGAATATATAAAGGTCGAACTGCAATAATATCTAGGACATTACACATGATAATATTAACATATCTTACTGAGAGCCTTAATAAAATAAGGTGCATCAGCTATTCAATCAGCGCCTCTGTAATATCAAGCACTGATACAGAGGCACTGATTGAATGAGTCAGTAAAGTACTTAGTATGCTGTACTCACGTGATTCTCTAAATCTCTTGAATATGCCATGGGTGTCTGGTACGGGGCAATATTCTACAAATTAGGCTCTTAAAGGTGGTGTGATACAGTGAGGTTATTTATATTTGTTAGTTTTGACACAATATCGTGGTTAATCGCTGGAATTTAAATTAATTAAAGTTAAGTCTTAGAAATAGAATTACGAATGATGAAAGTCTGCATGTGCACACAAATAGGACATAACTCGAGGCGACCCGCTTGTGACTCGATTAGTTTTGGCTTTTATTACGGCCATCAGGCCATCCACAAGGGAGTATCACATCAATAAATGTAATGGATTTGTAGTGTTGTTAGTTGTAATTAGCAAAACTATAAAACTGATAGTATATATTTCTTTCAACGTTAGCTAACTTTCACAACAAAAGTTTTAGAATTAGTAAGCAAAATTATATCTTAAATGAGTAAATTTGCTACAGTTATTAACCAATTAGTACTGTAGTTCAAGAACTTGAATATACTTTACAGAATTCAGACGTCTTAATTACTCTTGCATTGCAAACATTACTGTAGCGAGATTCGCAAGAATTAAGGAAAATGTCGAAGCCTCCGATTCCTTTCTAAAAACACTGTTTGACAACGTTGTCATCTAATTGGTTACTCTAACCAAATGCAATATCAGCTGTTGATCTGGATAAAAATTCCTTCGCAAATCATTATTGGTGAAATCAGTGTTTTACTGTCGATTTAAAAAATAGTCATAGCTCATAATAATCATTTTAGCTATGATAATAGCCATGCTTGCGACTAAAACTTAAACTAAAATATCAGATTGCGACTAAATCCATCTATCAATTATACTCGATATGGACGCATATCATAAATCCTTATACTACCTTCAGCGACCTATAAGAAAAGTGTTGGAGCTGTATCCTTTTAAACTAAATACACACGGGTTAGACGCGGCATATCCCAGACATATCCTCCATGCTTTGTAGTAAGGAGGACATCTCTAGAAGGATATGTCTGGGATATGCCGCGTTTAACAAATACAAGAAAGCTTGGAACCATAAGATCCCTCTGAGCAAGAGGCTTCTGTTGTATGAGGCTCTGGTAGTATCCGTTTTAATGTACAATTCATCTTGCTGGGCTGCCCCTAAATCAGTATTGGAAAAACTAGATATTGCTCACAGACGTCATCTGCGATCAATTTTGAATTACAAATACCCTCACATCATTTCCAACAAGAACTTGTATAAACGCTGCAATAGCGAACCATTGTCAGCTAAAGTGGCTCGTAGTCGGTGGAGGATGCTCGGACATGTACTGCGTGGGCCTACAGATGGTCCAGCCTATTCGTCGCTTGTTTTTGCTGTTAACACCTTACAGCTTCAAGGGCGGCGTGGAAGACCGCAGTCAAACCTTTTCTCACTGATTCTACACGACCTTAGTGTTCGAAAATTATCGTTAAATAATTTATGTGATTTAAACAATTTAACTTTAATCGCTCAGAATAGAGTTAAATGGAGAAGTATGCAAATTGCATGACTTTTGTTTGAGAAAGATTAGGTGACAGAAATGTTTACTTTGTTTACTATCTGTTTCTTAGAGCTTTTGTTTATATATACACACGGGTTTCCTGAAAAGATACACAGATAGAATATATAAAGGTCGAACTGCAATAATATCTAGGACATTACACATGATAATATTAACATATCTTACTGAGAGCCTTAATAAAATAAGGTGCATCAGCTATTCAATCAGCGCCTCTGTAATATCAAGCACTGATACAGAGGCACTGATTGAATGAGTCAGTTCAGTAAAGTACTTAGTATGCTGTATTCGCGTGATTCTCTAAATCTCTTGAATATGCCATGGGTGTCTGGTACGGGGCAATATTCTACAAATTAGGCTCTTAAAGGTGGTGTGATGTGAGGTAATTTATATTTGTTAGTTTTGACATAATATCGTGGTTAATCGCTGGAATTTAAATTACTTCCATGGGGCTCGTCGATCAAATTTTAAAATTTAAATTTATGGAGGCTCACTCCTTTCGACTGGTTTGGTATTGACAAAAGAATCTTGTGGCCTCAGTGAATTAAATCATCTCCAATGGAACAGGCAGTGGCTCACACTCTGTTGATCTTCAGGGAGATTTGAGGTTTCTCAACCTTACTAATAGTGTGTGTGAGTGTGTCCCACAACCAAGCAGTTAACCTAGAAGTCCGGCATTATATATTATGTATTATGTATTATAATGATCCTGGACCTAAGTGGCGAGTAGCTAGGCTCTGTCAACAACAAAAAAGGGTGACCGACAACTGAACCCAATTGAACCTAGTTCCCACGCAGTTAACAGGCACCCGATCAGCTTAATTGGGTGTCCAATCAGCTTAAATCCCAAAACGACAACTGAACCCAGGTCATATCACAACTGCACCGAAATGTTGTCTCTGTTTCTAACTGAAGATTGGGTTCAGTTGTCGTTTCAAAGTTAATTAGGTAGACTGATTGGGTTTAAAATTATTTTCCTAAGCTACCCTGTCTAGGAAAAGTCCAAATTGGGTTCAGTTGTCCGGTAGCCACAAAAAAATCTCCAATGGAAACTTCAATTACTTGAAACTATTTTATTCAGTCCCCTATGGAATGGGTATTGGGTACCCTCGGTTATTTATATTGAACCTAAATGGTACGACGCGACGAAATCTATTAAAAAGGGAGGTATTTAGATTTTTAATGGAACCTACGTAGGTTTCAATAGTTTAGTTCATGTTACTATTTTACTAATTGATTTAAACGATTTAGTCTGTCCGTAATGGATTTTACATTATTTACTTATACGCAGAGAACTCGTTTATTCAAAATTAAAAAAGGTTCAAATAAAAATATGTCGCCCAAACATCTCACATCGTGAGATTCTTACAAGTACAAGAATTCTAATCTGGATTTCCACGAATATTATAAAACCAAAAAAGAGAATATTGTAAGAAACCTCAAAAGAAAGTGATCATGCTTTTTAAGTTTTTAGTGCGTCAAATTTGTTTGTTACCCGACTGAGGAATGAAGCCTTGAGACTATCCTTGACCAGGATAAATTCTTTTACATTAACAGACATTGTTTAGGCAATGAATGTGACTGTCACTTTCATCAGGAACTTTCATCAGAATGGTGGTCGGTAAAATCTTGGCAGCTTCTGAGCCATCTTGTGCTATGCAACATGATTCTTATTGTGTCTCAATCCTGACAAGGCTATTTATGGTTCCTGAAACCTGTCATATCCAAACCACGATACAAGTTTCGTAGAAGATACACA